CAGCAAATCAGACATCAGATCCGTCCTTCCTAAAAAACTGTAGGCCCTTTCGAAAAATTAATTTGATTACCATTTTGTTTGACTGAGGGGGAGGCAAAAATTGCAATAACTTGTTTGCTAAGATTCCATTTAAAGTAATCACGGCAGCTAAGGGAAATAACGAAGCGCGCGAAGTCTAAAAATAGAATGCAAATTATTGAAACCCCGCGAGAGTCAGACAACATAAGTGTGTTCTGAGAGAAATAGGAGGAAAATGAACGCCAAATTTTCGTTTCAAAAATTGTTTCAGGAGCACTTGCGTATGCGCTTGAAGAAGCGTCAAATCTTCCACCATTCCGTTTTGTTTGTCTGGGTTTGTCTGAGTTATGACGTCACTCGCGCGCTTCGCTATTAGATCACGACAGGAGACAGTCATTTAAAACATGTCAGTGACGTCTCCTTAGTTATTTATCGGTTATTTGTATATTTTGTGAAAGCCAAAGTTACAGAAGTTAATTAAAAAGCCATAGTTTTTCTGCATGTCGCCTTATTTTGCTCTTGAATTTAACAAGTAATATTTGAGTCTTTGAAAACATGTTTATTTGATTAGGGAATTCGCTAAAAAGAATATTTGTAGAAACGTCTCAGCTTGGACAGCAATCAAGTGGAAAACATGACAGATTAAAAACTTCTACTATAACGTTCACAATTCACTCTGAGTGTCATCAAAAACAAAAACGGAATCACTGAGCGTGCGAAACATTCTCAAGACCACACAAGCTTTTGTTTTGCTTTGCTGTTCTTTTGTCTTTATTTTACAATTTGCAGCTGTATACTGTATCCGGTCATACAAGTTGCGTGTTACATTTCGTTTTAACGATTTTTATTGTGCATTAACACCTGCATAATGAGGTGTTTAACAGCACGTACGTACACTTAACGAAAATGTGTAAACAAGCCCCAACGTTTTGCCAAAAGCTACTTCTTTTGCCATGCCCGCCCACATGCGTTTTGACGCCAGTGAACGAAAATAAATAGTCAACATCTTCAGAAATTTAATTTGCAATAGATGTGCGTACACGCACTTTTGAGGTTTAATGAGCTCAAATTCTCAGTGACTTTTTCTGGTACTTGTCTGAAGAGTTCATGTAGTTAATAACATTGATTGTGAAGAAGCTTGCATCGATTCACATGTTTATCACTATGTATTCCTTAATACAGTCGACCCTCTATTACACGTAAGCGGCCAGTTATCGAAGTCCCGAAATCATTGTCAGTATGATGAAATACTGCAAACAAAACCCCTATTGTCTTTTCCCCTGTTAAACGGCCTCATAATTTAAAAAGAAAATAAAAAATAACAACTAGTTTGGCTTCGTTTTGGAAAAATGATGTTAGATAAGAGTCCTAATTATCAAGGGATCATTCAAACACACTTTCATTACCTTGATGCGATTCCATATTTACTAAGCAGTTAACCCGATGGTAAAAAAAATATTCACAGTACATCAACCCCTATTAAGTGGCCACCACCCATTTTCCCGGGGCTGGCCACTTAATTGGGGGTCCTTTATAAATGCCTGCCGCTTTGTAAACGTCCGAAGCATGGCGCCCTCCCTGATTTTTGTCATTATCCTCCTGACTTGAGCATGTTGCTTGAAACATTTTACAGATGAAAAGGACGGAGGTGCTTGTAGAAGATTTTGAAAAGAATCCCTAGGAGGTATCAAGATCCTGTTTTGTGGACGTGGCTTCAAATGTTTTTCACCCCTAAGAGGTACCAATCTCCTGTCATACAACAAAAGCTCCCGCTGTGGACCTTTTGAGGCTGAACACCTGAAGAGTACCAAAACTACGTTTTTAACACATAAAGGATGCGACGAGCACCCTCGTCCTTTTTATCAAGTGAGAATCCCTCCGCCCCGGGGTCTGAAGTTGTTTGTTGCAACTGTCCCGAGATTCAAACTGAACGACATGTCAGTGTGCGAGGAAAAATAAATCAGAACCTAGAGATAAACAGACACCTCCAGTTACCATGTGTACAATGTAATAAGCTAACTAACCCAATACGCTACGCTAACTAAACCAATATGTCACAAAGTCACATCTGTTTATGTGAAGTTCTCACTTCCGAGTTTCAATTTCTTTTATACAGCCCCAGGTAAAGAACTGCCTTTTCTAGATATAATTATTTGTACATTGGCCACATTCCTGCTAGACCAAAACTGCCTGATTTCTATACCTTATCCCAGACTCAACGAAAACCATACCCTTCACAGCGGCACATACGCATATAGCTTATATTTGGGAGTACGTATCTCCCCGGGGACATGAAACAACTAAGTAGCTCGATGTTTTCTAGTCTGAGGACCCAGATAGATTTCCGGCTTTGTCAGATCACGCCGCCAGCGTGAAAAAAAAAATCAGAAAATCCGTCTGTGTTCGCACGTACGTTCGCAGGCTAGATGTATTCGGGCATGATGGCTGACCTCACATCTATGTTATGGCGTTAATTAACATTCCTAGCTAACCTTTATCCGACTATACTGAAGCCTTCGTTAGGTCTATGATGACTGTGTATCGGAAGAAGAAACTCTTGTATTATTTTGTAAATCTTGTAAATGTGGCAGTAAAACTGTTTACTTTGGTCTTAAAATTTGACACCTCAATAAAAAGCTAATCATGATCCCCAATATAATGGCCTTCACCATTAGCTTGCAAATTGCTGACTATAAATCTCAACTCTAACTGTTAATGATCATCATGGTCATATTTTTCTTTATCAGTATTGCTACGAATCTAATCTGTAGCCCACTTTAACGATCAAGTATATTTTATTATATCAAGGATCATCAAGATGTCCAGGCCTTTTTTGTACTTCTCTCTTTTGACTCGTACACACGTCCGATGTCTCGCTTCACTTTCTTACAGAACACTGGCACGGGTCCATATCAGTTTGAATCGTTTTACGGACATCGTTCAAGCTTTTCAGAATGACTCAGAAACTCAGGAAAGGGGTCTTTAGGGAGTTAAACTCCAAAACATTTCCTGGGTAGCATCCCCCTGGACACCTCTAGAGAGTCTGAGAAGCTTGCGCCTTCGGCATTTGATCCAACAGGGTGAGTCATCTAATCTGCCGGGTCCATGTTATTTTCAGTTAAAAGCCATGTAGCCAACCACAGATACTCGATGAGGTACTGTGTTATAAAAACCTATCGCTAAAATCTGTCTCATTTGTAAACGTGATACATACCTCTTTCATGACTGTTCGTTGGAAGCAGAGATGTTCGATTGCCTCT